GTGCTGGGGGTGAGCGGGGGGTGGGGTGGTATGGGGAGGCGATGAGAGGAGTTGGGGACAGGAGGGGGTGAGGGTGAGCAGGGTTGATGCGTGTGTCGGGGTGGGGATCCTGTTGTATTTGGGGGTTCCTTGGAGTGCTTGGGGGTGGGTGAGGAGGGCTTGGGTCGCACTGGGGTGTCTTGAGATGAGCTGGGTTAACATGAGGGTTTGGCACCTGTGGGTTGGGAGTAAGATCTGGGGTTGTCTGGGCGCTTGAGGGGTGTATGGGTAGACTCATCAGTACGAAAGAGTGCCCTCGTGAGACGGGTGGTTTTCGAGGTTTATTAAAGAGTGTGGGAAAGGGGTGCTTGGGGACTTCTAATGGGAGGGAGAAGAGGGCTGACTAGATCTTAGGTATGTGTAATGTGGTGAGTGGAACAGGTTGGGTATGGGAAGGGTCCTTAGTTATGTGAGCTGGTGAAGGTATGGAGATGAGCTGATGGGCTTTAGGAGGCTTTAGGGTACAAGTTGGTGGGGCTGGGTGTGCGTGTTTGGAAGTAGATAAGGTGGCTGATGTTTTTGAGAGACTAATGTAGGGGGAGAGCTTCAGAGCCTTACAGAGTTGTTACAGCGTGGTTTGGACAGGGGTTAGGAGCACTTCGAGGCAATGCAGTTGATGGGGGAGCAGATTGTTGGGGTTTGAGTTTTGTCTAACACGCATTATTTCTGGTAGTTCATAGGAGTATGTGTAGACAGGTGATTTGTGATTGTAATGGTTTTTTACATTCCTCCCTTTGGGGATAAGAATAAAGCCTGTAGGGTTAGTAAGAACCTATAGGTTCTTGATATCCACAAATCCTGTTGTAAAGGTTGAGATAGCATCATGCTTTTGAATTGGTTTTATTCACTGCTAAATCTAGAGAGTGGCCCTTGTCGTGCTGTAGCTTGGTCAGTGCTGTTGTGATCATTGAAGGAGAGCTGTTGGGAAGAAGCAGATGGACACAATTACTGCAGTCCTAGAAGATAAGAAATTTAACAGAATTTCAGATTTGCTTTTTGTATATATGTGAGAAGAGGATAAAATCTACCTCGTGACCCCGCAGAGAAGTAGTAACTCTCCCTCATGAACTGTGTCTCAATTGCTTTTATCTTCTTGTTGGTTGAGACTGAAACCAGCATTTGAGCTGCAGCTCTATTAAATGTTTTGTGTTTGATTGAGTCAACATGGATCTCTTTCATATTCTGGTGTCCCACTTGTAGCTGTCTGTGACTGCTTCTGAAGCTTACTTGCCTGAGGATAGTTGCATTAGGTACAATAGTTACAGTCATGCATCAAACTATCATGTGTCCAGAAGACTTCACAGACTGCTTCAGGAGCCTCCTGGACTAGGGTAATATTCACTGAAGCTTTCTGCTCTTCCTTCAGTAGGAAGATCAGAACTTGACTAAATAGTGGGATGTTGTTGAATTTGAAACTGTCCCGCATGCCATCTCTAGAAAGAAGGGAAATGTGACTCTGAACAGGGACAGAAGACGAATGCTGGAGAGATATCCTGGTAACAAAACATTCCTTGCAAGTGTTTTGCCAGTCCTAGAAAGAAACTTCTGCTTTTGATGGTTAGGTAAAATAATTTATTGAAGAACAGTATTTTTAAAATAATTCCCTCTGTGAACTATGTATGGGTTTGCATTTGCTTTCATAGCCTTTTGAGTAAATTGTTTTCTAAGTACAGACAATAAAGTAGGAGTTTGTCTAGCATTTGGAGAAGTGTGGCACTTGTGAATTGTGTCTAATCTTATTTGAAGGATCTTGCATAACAGTGTAGCAGAATGTAAGAGGTCTGATTAAGGCTGTCTTACTAATTCCTGTGTAGTCACTGGAGATACTTGGCCACTACTTAGGAAGCAAGGGTTGGCAGAACTGCACTTCACATAACTTCTTAGATGCCTACTGTGCAAATATCCTGAAGAGTCTTGATTGGTAGAAGACTGGTAAATATGTACTGTTTATATGAGTCCTTAACACTAAACAGTTTTCTTCTGAAGTGTTGGTGGATGTACAGATGCTTCAAATAATAAAAAAAACAGGCTTTGTTTACTTCAGTCATAAATTATAACTTGTTCTTCTGAAATAATTGCTTAAAATATTTCTCAAGGTTTTGCCTGTGTTGTGCAGTATAATAGCTGGCCTGACATGATGTTATTAATTCTGAATACAGCAAGATTTGATAACTGCTTAATCAAAAGACACAAGTACATTGTCAAAGTTCAGGACCTGAGTTCAAAGGCCTGCCAGGTAGAGTCAGCTGCAGATACTTTGGGCTCCTAATCATATGCAAATAGAAAGAGACTGGAGGAGAAAAGACTGGGTCAATCTGAAATAGTAAAATCACCTTGATCAGTCCAGTAAGGTGTGATAGCATGTGTTCACTTATGGGTGATGTGGCAAAACTGACTTGCAAGTAATTAAACTTTGAAGGGAAGTGACATTAGTAACTAGTATTTGCCACAGGCACAAAACACCTTCTGATGTGCATATAACAATCAACTGGTGAAAAAGGAAAAATAAACCCCGAAGCCTCCTTGAGGTGCAGTGCCAGAGTAGGTGGGTGGGCTGGAGTCTGATAGAATGATACAGCAGGTGTATTCTTCAAGGAAGGAGCATTGACTCATTTCTCCAGGGAAGTCTGGCACTTAACTGGGAAGTCTGCCTGCTGGTGACTGATACTAGATCTTTCACAGGAGAACAGAGAATTTCTCTGATGGGCAGCTGATATTTAGTAAAAGCCTTATACCCTGAAGCATGAAGATTTGTATGTCTTGGAAAACTGTATATGTGCAGTTGATTAATTGCTGTTAGTGGCATAATGAGTTGAATCATTTCACAGGCTGGATACATTTTAGAAAATGTCTGGTTTCTAAGATTGGTGCCTTTCTATTTTACTGGTCTTCTGGCTGTTTTTGAAAGGTAAATGAGAGTGTTCAATGTATTGCTTCTGCAGAGTTTGTCAGGTGGGATATTGTGGAGTTGCACTTTGTGTGAATCGGCACAGGCAGGACACAGGAACAACCATAAGACCACGGATGAGACGTAAAGAGTAAGTTTATTCTCATTATCTTGCAACCTGAGATACCTCCACAGCAACACCTAGGCAGAGGCATGCAAGTGGGGATGCAGATGCCACAGAGCTTGGTCCTTGCTAGTCAGGAAAGGAGAAGAAAGGAAAGATCTTGGGCCTGCTGCTTTTACCCATATATATCAGGGATTTTCACAGGTGTACTTTTCCATTGTGCTTTGATCTTTCCCACAGCAGGGCAGGAATCTCAAGGATGTTTGATAAGATGCCTCTGAGTCTCTCATAGAGTTATATAAGTGCAGACAATTCTACCTGTCAAGCACACAAAGCTAAACAACATTTAGTGTGATATACATGGGTTTTGGCATGAGCGTGTTTACAGTCCTCCTTGCCAATCTTCTGTTGTATTCCCATGTAATTCATCAGCATTACCAATCATTGACCATAAAACTGAGCTGTTCTGAGCAACTGTACTTGGAAGTTGACTGTGTTAAGGTTAATATTTCCAAGTTGGCAATTTTCTTTTTTGTTTTCATTTCACTTTTATGTTTAAGCAGCTTTCTGCAGTGTTTCTTTCATGGCTACTAGCACCACACATTGAAGATTGATGTGTTGTTTCAAGTTGACATGTAACAGCATTGAATATTGTTGAAAGTCTTCTTGATGCATGCTGAAATGAAGTTAGTGAGCTTAGTTTGATTTTACAACTCAAATGACTACTGGAGGAGAACTGTGAGAGGGATAGAGGACAAAAATTAACATCTAATTCTTTAATTTCCATTTAAAAAGCTCAAAATACTTTTCAAGCGATGTGCAGTCTTCTGTAGTTTTAATTTCCTTTTCTAAGGAAACAAGTTATATGCAGTTATGCTTTGTGTCAGTTCCTCTGACAGTTGTTGGTTGCTTTAACATGCTGGTAAACTGCAGCCAACTTTAACAGAGGGATAGTTCCTACAAGTTCTGTGAAAATTATTCTTGTGGTGCAGAAACAAGTCTCACTTAGTGTTGCTTTTGGTGAAAACTCAACCCTTATTAGACATTAGAACAGCTCTACAGGCAAGAGAATTATGAATGCCTAAACTGGAAGAGGCTTTGCTCTCTTACCTTCTTAGACAGGAAAAACACTTGATCATGTGACACGTTTCAAAGAAACTTTGAACATCATAATGAATTTTTTGATACAGGGCTGTTTAAAGCAGTCATTCCCTCTATCAGAAGTTGGAGTTCACAGTGTGATTTTTTTTTTTTTTCTTGCTTCATTTGTGTAGTTTGCCTGAAGCAGAGTAAATGTTGTGTGTTTTTTTTTTTCCTTGACTTGTTTGTGATAATCAGTTAAAGTCTGCTGATTTAGAACTGCTGTTTTACAAGAAGCTAGGTTAACTTACAAGCAATGATTGGGGCATCAGAAGTATTTTGCATATCATTTCATAATGTCTTGCATCTAGGAATTGATATACTGGATAAGAAAATAAGTTGTTTATTTTCCTTTAGACAAAATACTTTCTGTTTATAGATACTTGGTATCTATAGAAACTTGATATGTTTACCCACTGCACCAGAGATCTTACATTGTAAATATGTATATACTTATAGGTCATTAGTTTTCTAAAACGTTCACTATGGTTATCTTTCAGAGATTATGTGAACTGCTGTGTTAATCTTCTAACTTCTTGCACTGGATACTCAAGGTATGTCTGAAGGACGGATCTCTTGTGTTCTGAATGTGCCAGGTAAATCCCAATAGTAACTTTTCATGGGAGATTGTGACCAGTTAAAGGGTAAGAAGTCAAGAGAGGGCAACTTTTATTCTATATCTAGTCCTAGTTGATTCTGCAAAAAGGGCCTGACAGGCTGTAACCTAACATTTATTTTTGTATTTGTGTGTTATACTAGAAAATCAGGTAACTGCAACACTAATGCAATTATTTGCAACACTGGTGAAGATGCAGTGTGTCAGTGGGAGTTAGCCAGTTTCCATAAATACCTTTAAGAACTTTACTCAGCATTTCCAATGCTTGAGGTAAAGCAGGAAGGAAAATAGTGATATTTTTCAGGTAGATAATTAAATCCCCTGTCTCACCTTTTTGTCTGAGAGAAGCAAAAAATGGCCACAGCCGTGACCTTTGAGAACAGTTTGACTGCCTTTCAATGGCAGTGGTTTTACAAGAGGTGCTGTTCAATAAACTCTTACCTTGACATATTTCTGGCTACCATATTGGATTGTAAATCACATCCATTAATCTAATTTAATATTTCATTTTCAGGTTGTCCTCATGAGTACTCCAGTGGAGAATGTCCATGATCTTTTTTGCCTGTGTGGTGCGGGTGAGGGATGGACTTCCCCTCTCAGCCTCCACAGATTTTCATTTCAACCAGGACTTTCTGGAATGCAGAAAGAGATTAAAGGTGTTATCCTCAATTCTGGCACAGTATCCAAGTCGAGGCACAGCAAAAGGACGTGACCTCAGCATACAGTAAGTCCTTACTTTTGTTTGTTTGGCTTTTTGACTAATTTTTGAAATGATTGTCCTGGGGATTAGTTAAACTTTAAAGGTTATGTGTATTCTATAGTGCCTAACTCCAGTCTGAAATGCAGTCTAGGTTGTAACCTTCAAGCAGTATTTTGAAACCTTATTTCTCAGCACCAGAGACATACAGCTCCTACTCAGTTTAGTAAGCATATGTTAAGATTGTTTATTTTAGTTGTCATTTTTTTGTAGCAAATGCTTTCTGCTTAGTCCTTGTTACTCCTAGCAATTGGAGTATCTTAAAGACTTCTACAAATACCTGCTAAGATGACATCCTAGTGCCTAGGAATTAGTTTAGTCCCAAACCCTTTTCTTCAAGGACGGTCAAGTCCTGCTGATGCCTTCTCTCAGATCCCTGAAGTTCTGATTCTGGCTTTCACAGTCTCCCTCCCACATATGGCCCACTCCATTTTCTGAATACCAGCAGGGTTCAAGTCTCTAGGAGTTCTTGGCTCATGGGTGTGTCTTGAGGAGATCTGAAACATACTGACAATAGCCAGTATGGAGGAATTATAAATCTTCGCATTTATTTATTGAAGAAGGATCTGCTTGTCAAGAAATTAAGGTTTCATTCAGAGATGAGAATTTTCATTTACTATTGATTTTAGTTTAGCTCTAAAAATGAGTTTTAGCTTGTGATTGCATTTCTGATTGGCAAATGTAAAAAAAGTGACTCCGAGCTAAAGCTAAGTATCCCTTTTCGGGGTAGTGATTGGAGAAAAGATACATGAACTTACATTGAATCAATTGGAAAAGCAGAGATTAGCCTTTTAATTCCTTTTCCCTCAGAGCAAATTTATGCCCTTTAATGCTTACACATTCTTCTGCTTTTAATCTTCTGTAGTCTTTACAGAAGTAGCTACGCATCTGGCTCTGAAGTGAGAAGAGTGCAAACAGATACGTAGCAAAAAGACTGTAAATTATTGACAACTGGGAAAAGTTAGTTTTACACAGGTATGGTGTTGATCCTCAGCTGTGAGCTGGGGACAGAAGGAATTTAGGGAAAATACCCAGTGTAATTAGGCTGTAATGGAGCTAATCAAAACCATAAATCTCAAGTATGTAGTATAACGAATAAATAAAAATGTGATAAAACAGAAAGCACAAGAATTTCTGTATGAGACGGATGAAATATATAAATAGTAGAAAAGAGAGGAAATGGAGAGTAATTGTTCAGCTTGAAAACTTTGGCTTTGTACTGAAATATCGCTAACAAATGGCTAACCTGTAAGGGAAGATTTCCTCAGTCGTGTTTCAGAGATAATTACAAATCTGTAAGCATGGTGGGCATTGTGGAAGTTTAACTGTCTGTGTTATGAGTGCTGGCTTCTGAACTAGGTGCCCTGACTTCCATCTTACTTAATGAAGCCTAGATGACAGTGATTTCTCTTATCCTTAAGTACATGCCTACATTTTGGTCAGATGAATCCCTTGTTAAGTTTCCTAGAAGGTTTGGGGCCATCTGTAAGTGGATACTTCTGCTAAGTAGGAGTTCAGTGTTAGAGGGATCTCTTTAGCCATAGAATTTTTATTGTGCTGTTTCTGATACAAATAAAGATGAGTTTGTAACAGATGACTTAGCGGTAACAGTGTTTAAATATCTTGGTTTGTGCAAGTTAAAAAATAACTCTTGCTGTTAATATGAAGTTGTCATATTTGAAGGGAGCAAGGAGTACATCTGCTTGCTTCCTGTGAACAAGCTTACTTGTTTTTACTTTTGTTTGTGGAAAGCTACTGTGTTTTCTTTAAAAATTTTCTTGCCTATGATATTTTCTGGACATTTCTTTTCTTATTAACATGATTTAAAGCCAGCCTGGGAAGGTAATGTCCTCAGTTTGAACTGATGTATCAATTTAATAGAATCTGTATTGTGATCTTCAGTATGCTAAGGCATACTGCATGAGTTAAGAATAAATGTTAGATCTACAGGGGCTGCAGGTCTATTACAGCAGTGCAAACAATATATTTTTTGCAGTCTCTACATTTTATTTTGACAGAAAGCACAATTTACTTCTCATGTTCAGCACGACTCCTTTACGTTTTTATGTTGATGTTACTTTTTTTTTTTTTTTCCTATTTTAGTTTCCTTTCTTCTGGGGATATAGCCTGCATGGCAATCTGTTCCAGCAATTATTCAACCATCATGGCGTTTTGCTTCCTGGAAGAGCTTCAGTGGGAATTCGCTGCTTCCTATGATGCGACAAGCATTAGTTTAGCTTCCAGACCATATGCTTTTCTTGAATTTGGTTTGTAACTTGGTTCTCTAATAGTAAGAATTCTGTGTCTGGCTGCTTTTATGATGTTAAACAATGTCTCCTGGCCAAAGCCTCATCATAAAAATGAATCTGTGTGTGTGCCTTTGCATGCATGTGTAGGAGAAAGGAGATCCTGTAACTGCCTTAAACTGTTAGATTGCTGGTTTTACAGTTCCTGAGAGCCCTTGTATTAGATGAACAAAATGCTGTGGCGATTAATAAACAAGCACAGAAGGAAAAGAAATCCGCATCTCAAACACTTTCTAGCTTAATTTAAAAAATCTGACAAGTGGAGACAGATGGGTACATGAAAAAAGGGAGACAGAATATATTATTATGGGCAGCTTTACTTCTGGCATGACTAAAGATTCACGTAATACTTCGGAATCATGCCTAGTGTTTATTTTTTAACCTGTTAGGAGTGGTTTTCTTGCTAAGTAATAGCTGCTGTACTGTACGTGGCACGTCTGAAAAACACAATTCCCTTGCAGTGAGAAACTGTTTTCTGAGAAAGGATAAGATATTGCAGTGGCTTAGCACAATTCTATCCAGATTTTGGTAATACTGTTAAGCTCATGCTTAAAAGATTGAGAAATCCACAAGGAAAGCATATTATACAGCCATCTTGTATTTTTTGTGGATTCCCTTCAGGGCATATTCCAGGCATGATGTAATTTTATACTGAGATCCAAATTACTTCTTAATTTGAGTAGGAATTTGGGAATTTCTAGCCTCTTGTAATTACACAAGGCTTTTTGAAAGAAAAAATGGTCTTTTTTCTTTTTTTGGTCATTTTTACTATTGTACTGTGTTTTGTTACTGAGTCTACCTGATGTTGCTGTGTGGTATTTCTTTTTTTCCCCTCCTTTCCTGTATTTGGATCAAAGATGCACTTGATCTTAGCCTTGCCTGGTAGTTACAGATAATTGTAGCATGCTGACTTATTGAAAAATCCTGTATTTTACTGTAAGGAATTCTTATGACACTGTGTATTCTAGCACAACATGAAGTCTGCCTGTGTGGTCTCAAAACTTGTGCTTAAGCTATTACATATATATCATACCCAGTAGCAGCTGTGGTCAACCTATATAAATCTTCTAGTGTAACAATATCTTAAAGATATGCATTTTACCTACAGGATATCTTAGCAAAATAAATGCTTCTGTGTTATATCTTCCTAAGCATTTGAAATGGCTTGAATTTGCCAATATCTTTACACAATTAAATAGGCAGTAGCAGTATCCGCAGTGAGATACTTCATCCCTGGAGGTGTGAGCAAGTCATACTTGGACAAAATCTCTGTTTAGTCTCAGTGCAACTCCTGTCAAACCAGCAGGGTGATCTGTACGTAGATATGTGGCTTGGATGTTGGTGGAATCACTGACAGAGTTGCTTCATGACTCAAATATAGATTGAATTACTTTGTCTCTCTGCTGGAAAAAAAACTAATGCTTGGCATTGTTAAAACACATTGTGGAATTGCTTCTCATTGTTCACAGGTAATTTAAGATACTTGTTAATATCTACCCTGAAATATGAAAGCTTGTTTTCAGTCCACTGCTCGGCAGGATTTTGAGATTTAAAATATCCAGAAGGCAGTGGGTGTGATATAAAATACCTAGGAGAGGTGGTTTTTTTTCCCTAATCAGCAGTGGAATTTTGTACCTGAAACTAATAGGAAAAGAAATGATGGAAGAAGTGAAAAACAATCAAAAAAGAATGCCATAGTTTGATCAATAATTAACTAAGGCACTCAACTTTTGCAGAGCTAATTAAAGCATGTTTTTATATTGTTTCAGATAACGTTATCCAGAAAGTGAAATGCCATTTTAACTGTGTGAGTAGCTCTCAAATGAAGGCCAGCTGGGAGAAGATTGAGGAGGAGCTGAAGTTCCAGCCCCCAGTTCAGCTGAAACTAGAGGATACAGAGCTGATGAATGGGATGACTAATGGTGGGCATGCAGGCGTTCATGTGGAGGTTGGTAAGTTACTACTACGCACAGGTGACAGGAGACTCCCTGAACCTAACTTTGCAAATGACAGAAGAACATGTAACAGCAGTGGTTCCTTTTGTACTGAGAAATATATATCATGTGTATCAAACCCCCCCAAAAACCCCTGCCTTCTATCATAGTAAACATACAGTCTTTAGATTATAGCTGTGAGTTGCTGCAGCCTTGAGGAAAGAAAAGATGAGAAAAACATGAGCTGAGGGTAAAACTCTTATTCCCAGACTGTCTATCTTGGGTTGTTCTTCCCTCTTTGCTTTCTCCTTTTTTATTCTTTAAAATTTAATGCATCTGACTAAAATTCTGAAAGAGGATATGTCTGTATAAGCAACACATAGAGGCTTGACAAGAGACTTTTTTGTAACAAATACTGACATTTTACCTGCTTTTAGAAGTAATAACCTCAACTTATAAAACTGGTATCTTCTTATCTGTGTTTCAGTTGCATAGTCAAAGTCCTGCCTACTTCCTCTATGAAATGAAATCACAGAATCATTTAGGTTGGAAAAGACCTTTAAGATCGAGTCCAACCATAAACCTAACACTGCCAAGTCCCTCACTAAACTATGACCCTATTTTAATTCTATTAGCATGGTGGTTGTTGCATTTAAGGTAATGAATTAATTTGATTAATTCCCTTGTGTTCTAGCTAGTCCTCAGAGATTAGAGGGGCTAGGGGCAACTGGATTTATCTCTGAATAGCTATGCCAATTATGCCCGTGACTATAGGCCTGACACCAGATGCATGAACAGCCCATGTGGTGTAGGTCTGGTTGCATTCAAGAGAAGCAGTCAGGGTCATGAATAGTACGGTTTACTCTTACGCAACATGTATGGATTCTTTGAGATTGCCTACGATAAATGCACAAACTGCAGGTTGGCTCTGTAACACTACACACAAAAATGATTGCAGTCACACACACTTAATTCCCAGGTAATCACTTGATGTCGCCAAGGGCCCAAATCTTACCAAGAGGTGTCCCTTCTGGGGTGGGGTGAGGAGCACAAACCCATCAGTCTGTCCCTCCGATTTGGTATTGGATTATTGTCCCTCCGAGTTAGACACAAACTTGGGGTAGTATTTATCTAAGTGTGTATGTGTGAGTGGGTGGGACTGTGGTCAAGCCGTTATTTCTTGAGTAAAACCACAGCATGTTCCATGGTGCAAGGTGTGTGCTGGTTTTGTGGGAGAAAAGGAAGAATGAGAGGTAAGGTCTGCAGAGCTCTGCAAAACAGTCCTTGAGAGAAGGGGAAGAGCAGGGAGATAAATCTGTATAGTGGTGTCAGATGTTCCTTGAGAAAAGTGGAAGAACAGGACTGTGCGGCCTCCACCTTGCTTCACATTCCCCCTTGGTGCCATGGCAACTCAAATCACTGGATCTCCATCCCATCCTGTGTTTGTTCTGGGCACCATGTGTTAAGGAAATGTGTGTTTTGCGTTTTTTTTCACTGTTTTGCTTTTCCCACACTTCCAACTGTGGTTTAAATGCAGCTTTTTTTTTTTTTTTTTTTTTTTGTTCTTGGCTTATGAAACACTAATAAAATTAAGTTCCAGTTGCTCAGTCTTATTGTTGCTGATGAATGAGCTGGAATCTAATTTGACATAGGTATTTTAAATTAAAAGGTAGAGGGACAGTGGCCAAGAGGAATTAAAAATAGAATTGAAAACGTTCTATTTGCCAGTCAGATTTGTCAGTGCTCCTTATAACTGTGCTTGAAGTTAAATATTTTCATGATGTGACAGGGATTAGAAATTCTTTGCACTAGTGTTTACTGGCACTGAAACTGTTCACATTTGCAAGCTAGTCTGTGTCCACAGATCAGAAATACATTTTCAGTTCCCCCATATTCTTAATTGCTTTCTTTTACTTTCCATCTGGCTTTGTATTTCTGGTGTTCTAATGCAAATACTCTTACAGATTGTACTGTCTTTATTTTAAGGATCGTGTTTGTGATCATCTGTTTTCCTCAGCTGGAGTCATCTTTCCTGGCTTATGTCTGTCTGCTCTCATCGTTACCTACTGGCTGAATCCAACTTTGCTGCTCTAAGTTTAGCTGTGTGGATAGTGTCTGTTCCCATATTAATGTTATTTATATTATGGCTGTGCTATACAGGAGACTTCTTGAGCATACATGGAAGTGTTATGGTTGCAAAAGAGCAGAATTTAATTCTGTCCACATTTTATAGGGAAGACAGATCAATCAATGCATGTACAAGGTTGTAGCTGGTTCCTGTCTTCTTTTGAGCTGTGTGTTCATATGCCCCGGTTCTTCATTTTAGTGTGAAAGGAGTCTGAAAAGTCAGGGCAGTTTTGTCCTTGTTAGTATATATGGAAACGAGCTTTTTTTTCCTTTTATTAATTCTTTCTTCTGTTTGTTCCTTCCTTTGTCAACCCAGCCCATTCTTGCTAGAAAGACACTAGCACTGTATTCTTGATCAACATCTACACAACTGCAGTTGTTGTTGCTAAAGCTTCACCTTGTGTCTTGATATGGGCACAGCTGATGAAGCTCCGGAGGACAGTGGGGTGTGTGTACAGAAGAAATGTGAAGTGGAAGCAGCTTTCTGTGAGGAGGGAGAGTTTTCACATCAGAACTGGCTCTATGAAGTAGAAGAACAACTTGTGCTATTCATCTAGTCAGCATGCTGTTAAATTATGCAGCATTGTGCTCCCCTTGATGAATGCTCTCAGTCTTTTGTAGGCACACAGGAAGTCCTTTGCAGAGTCCTTTTTGAGTTGTTTTCTGAGGATGTATCACATCTCTGTCTTTTGTGTCCTAGTATTTTATTTTAAAATGTTTAAGTCTGATGTAATTTTTTTTGCTGGTGGGGCTGTCTTTATCTGGAGCTTTGAGTATGTGACTCATTGTTAAACCCTTGTACTATACCTTGAAGCGACAGAATGGAGTGTGGTGCAGGCATTCATGTCAGGCTCTGGTTAAATAGCCAGAGGCCTCTGCGCGGAAAAATCTTTTAGAGGCAGAAGCTTCAGTTTCTTCGTTTTGTGAGGATGATTTCACAAAATTGTTCCGTACATGTTCAAACCTGCAGATGCATTTTTCCTGGGTGCTCGGTAATCCACAGTCACCAGAACATCTTCTGTATGATTCTTGTACTCTGAAGTGCTCAATTTTTCTGCTCGAAGAGTCAAATCACTTTGAATCCTAATTAGCATTTAACTGTGCTCATGCAAAATTGTGCTCTCTTGGACAAAGAGTGCTTGTACTGTCTTGTTCCCTCATTTAATGTAATAAGCAATTCTAGTAAGAAATTCTGTTTATAAAAATAGGATTGAATTCACACGAGGAAGTGTAATAATTTTTCCCTAGCAGTACCCATCTCGCTTGTTCTGTGCAATTTTAGTTTGTGAATTAAACCTCAGAATGATACAGCAGAAATAAGATCCACAGCAAACAAAGATCAGTTTTCACAGAATATGAACCCTGAGCAACTGGATATTTTAATCACCCCTGCATCTGTGATAACAATTCTTTCCATCCTACTGGACAAAAAAAAATGTAGCTTTCATGTAATATTCCATGCTGTGGTCTTCAGCTTGCAGCAGCAGAATATTGAGACTTGCATTTTTCTTCTCTGGGGACTGGAAACTATTGATGTATAGTTTACAAGATCCTGTACACTGAATGACACTTGTGCAATTTTTCTTTGTTTGAAAGACACTGTATGCCTCTTAAGTGAACCTTAGAAACTGAGGAAGAAGAAACAGTTGTCTTGATTAGGAAATTTCCAGGAGAGATACATAGCTGCAGCATCATTTAATTTATGAAAAATCATAGGAAAGTGAATACTCAGGTCAGTGAATGAACAAACATGCTGGTACAGCTTCTATTCAGTGTGCTGTTTGGACCTTAAATTTCCCTGCATAGCAAAAAACCAAAATTGCCTTTGAATGATAGGGTCACTTGCACCATTCATTTACATGAACTTGTGTATGACAGTGATACACAGTAATGCCATGTAATGTGTCATATATCAGATAGAATTAATACAGTTGGTTTTGTAGCTGCTTTGGAGATGAAATTATGGAGGTATGAGTGCATGCCAGACAAATTAATTACATAGATGCTTATAAAAGATACTTTATAGCCCCATATTAATTTGGCAGGAAACTTCCATTCATCAGAATCTCTCTTGAAGGAGAAGATACAAGTGTTTTCCTGTCTTAAACCACATACTACTGCAATATTTAAGCTGTTACAGTGTTTCATCTGTCACTGAAACAGAAGTCAGAGATGGTCTCTGCTGTGTTGCATGGTTGGTCTACAGCAGTCAGGAGTTGGCTCAGACTTGCCAAAGGCTTGCTCATTCTCTCCTGTATCTTATGGATGTTGGTGCAGGAGAGGGTCTGAATTTGGTATGTGAACTGTCATTTACCCTTCTTATTGCTGTGCTAACAGTGTTCTACTTATGACCCAAGGCTGGGGAGGGTATGCCAACAAATGTAGGTGAGTATCTAGGTGTGCTGTATGTTGTTGAGCTAGCTAGTATAGCTAGGGATAAAAATGGGTGAGCTTTTGGACAACCAAATGCCTGAATTAGAAGTGACAGATTCCAAAGTTAAATACAAATTGAGAATAATTGCTTTGATCTCAATTAGGTATGTATCAGAATATCCTGAAGAAATGGTATTTGGGTGTGTAGGTATTAAATAATAGTAGTGGAGAAGGTGAGAAAGGAAAGAGGTAATTCGCTACCTGTGAAACATAGGCACGTTGGGAGACGGAATTATAATGCACTATAAAATCTCGTTCAAAGTCCAAAAACTGTATCAACCAGTTTAATTCCTGGGCTTCAGTTTTGACCATGTTTTGTCAGTCTGAAAGGCCCAGAGGTAAGAGCAGCAGTTCTATGACGGATGTTTCTCCTCTGTGATTGTGTAGTATCATCCTGACAGCTCCTACAACTGTTCTAGCAGCAGAGCATCACAGTCCTTGGCTCCTACAGTTGTATTCTGGCAACTGCTTGATTGGGGCATCAAATGCTGTATGGAAACTGTGCAGGTGAAACTAAATTGCTGCATATCAGACTTTCACTGGGAAGAAATACCGAATTACCAGTTAAGGAAGAGCTGAATTGCTGTCTTGCTGGTATGAGTGTCAGAAATCTAAGCTCTTTCCCAGACCTTTGGGTGTGTAAAGCCTCTGGCTTTACTACCTACCTGTGAGGGGTGTTAAGTATGCCGATCTGCTGAAATAAACAATTGAAAAATATCTGTGTGCACAATTAAAGACATTAACGCCAGATATCTCAAGAACAAATTCTGTTTCTTTACCTGATGAAAAAGTACTGATTTCTAGATGTCTGAAGAACTGAACAGTGTATATGCAACAGCAATTAAAAAAAATATGTTTCTGTTCTTAATTGGTCTTCTCTGGGGCAAGCATGAAAGGTTTAGAAAATGTTTAAAACCCATGCTAAAAGATTCAGAGGAATAGTGCTTTTGTTGTTTTTTTTTTTTTTTTAGTACCTACTTACAGAATGCAGCGTGTGACTCCCCTGGGGATTCTGTCACTTGTTCTGAACATCATGTGTGGAGCTTTGAATCTCATTCGAGGAGTTCACCTAGCAGAGTATTCATTTCAGGTAACTCAGATTAAATTCAAATCTGTAAATGAGTCAAAGGGAGAGAGTTATTTAGGTAAGCAGATTAAGCGTGGCTGTTCTGCTTTGTAGCAGAGCATACGTCTTTCTACAAGAAGTGTTTTGTTTGTCCAGGGAACGTATGATTGATTGCTTACCTCATGTGTTTCATTGCATATTGCAGCACATTGTGTTTTGTTCTTTTCTAGGAAGATTAACATTTGGAGAAATATTTTAGTCTTACCAGACTGGCTTGATTTTTAATTTTTTTTTTCTTTCCATTCTTGTATTTTGTTCCAGATGCTTTTGTGTAATTTTTATTAAACAAATGTGAAACTGTAAACAACTTCTTAAAAGAAAAAAAAACCAGTATTGTGTGGTGGCACAGTTTTATTTAGCAGGAATTGTCACATAAGCCTCAGTTCTTGGTATCTTGTTCAGTGATATTGATCTTGCTGTTTAACAACATGCTGTTTAAATCAACATAAACTGAGAGATACTTGATGAAATATAGTGTTCTAAAATATCAAGCAGTACTTGTTAGAAACTGTAGCTGACGTAGTTGTTTGTCACTTTTTTTAATCCAAACAGGAGGACCATGAAGGAATTGGAAATGTGATAGCTTTTTTTCTACCTTTTCTAGCCTGTGTTTTTCAGGTATGTTAACTCTAAACAAAATGCTTTCTGATTAATTTTATATTGTAATATACAAGGCAAAATAATTTTTAGCTAAGCAGACGAGCAGTTTGGATTTTAGTGAAGTGGCACAAAGGTGCAATATGACCCTTAGCAAATTGCAGGTGCAAGATTTTTCTGTGCTTTCATGTTGTGACATGCCAGATGGGGCTGAGCATGATAAATAAGTGCTAGCCAAAAGATTGTTTGTTTCCCAGAGGGATAGACACAATGTCTTTCTGATAGTGGCAGACCTAATGATGGGCTTTTGTTGCATAACCACCTTGAAAGCCTAAGCAAATACAGGACAGCAACATTATTGAAAATGTTATAAATTACATTAAAAATTACTTCTAGTTCTTGAGACAAATGTCAGTCCTGATATCCTTAGATTTAACTTTTTTTTTTCTTAATGGTTTATTTTCTCTGATCTCCTTATGCAGAATAAGAACTCCATCCTCCAAATGGGTTCTTCTTGAAAGGTTTCTTAAATGCTGAAAACAGTGGTCCACAATGTTTAACCTGAGGGCAATATATTGTTTGAAAAATCTTCAATTTTTAGCCTGTCATTGCAGGAAGCTGTGATAGTTGGGTTAGTAGTAACGGCTGCAGTGTATTCATTGCTTAGTACTGTTACATTTGGCTAATGGTTTGGGGACCATTTAAGATGGAGATACTCATTTGGATCTAAATACTTGATGCAAGTCATTTTTTACAAGGACGGCTCTGTACTGCTTTTTTCCAGTTGATACCTGAACCTAGAGAAGCTAAATACAGAATAGTTCTCTCTTACCCTTTTGATTTATAGCAGTCATCTTCACAAAATGCTTGTGCATAATTTGAGCTCAGATGTGAAGGGCTTTCTACATGATGATCTCTGCTTATGTCATCAGCACAGTTGGAAACTGTGACCTTAAGTGAGAAAGCATGATCTGTTACTGCTGGAGTTAAAAAAGAAACTCTTCTGCCAGCACTTTGAGTTTTTAGTTTTCTCCTCTAAGGGGTGATGCTCTTCACACATGCCTAGCAAGTGGGTTCCACCTGTTTTTAAAAAGAGCCCAAAACCCCAGCTAAAGCTAACAGAAATGATGGTCTTCCTCTCAAGTCAAGACTAGAGAATTAAGTCCTTATCCCAGGAACAAATAAAGGAGAAGCAGGTTTAGGTTTGCTGTTTTCCTGCTTCTGAGCTTTTGTCTTAAATTTCAGCCTCCTTTTTAACCCAGGGTGAGGCAGGCAGGAGGGACACCAGTTGTGCTGACCGACTTCTTTTGATACCTATGCTTACACAGTAGAGTCTGGATTGAGGCCACCACTCCAGCTATTCTTGGAGGACTTTCAACATAGGATTTGAAAGGAAGCTTTGAGCTTCTTCGTTATAGCTGTGATGTCAGGCACATCGAACCAGCATGCATGTGCCAGCAGTTCCCAGCTGCGTCTCTTGCTAATATGTGTATAGTTGAATGCTAATACCACCTCTCTGATCCTTTTGTAGTGTTACTTGTACCTCTTCTACAGCTCGGCAAGGAAGGTGAAGACGTTTGTACTCTTTTTCTCTGTTTGTTTATGCAACGTTTACTTGTATGGATTACGGAACCTCTGGCAAATAGCCTTTCACGTAGGAGTGGCATCTCTTTCTTCTTATCAGATACTGACAAGGCAACTTATGGAGAAACAGCCTGACTGCGGAGTATGAAAAAGACTTTAGGTTTGCTACTCTATTTTTACAATTATTTTTTTTTTTATTAAACTGGCCAAAAATAGCTTGGAGTATTTTTAAAGATTTGCAACAAGGGTTATTGCAAGGAACATATTTCAGAGCAACTTGAAATAAAGTAGGATACTGTAATCATGTCAAACATACAGTGAAGAATGTAGGTGTATCTAACATGGCATGTGGTAATTGTGCATGGTAGATCTTGTCAGGTGTTGTCAACAGATGGAGGTTCTCCTTACCATAAACAGGCTTTTACTCCTTGACTAATACCACCTAGACAGCGTTTTGCCATTTGTCTTACTGGCTTTGTAAGTTTGTCAGGTCAATGTCTTGCCCTGCCAATGCTTCTGAAAATATTTAAATTGTATAGTAAAATGAAGATAAAATGGTGAGTAACATTTTTGTCTATAGAATCTTTTAAGCATTAAGATTCTTGGTAAATATTAAGTAAAGGAGTTGTTGCCATAATTAGATGAGTTAAATATCAGTGGGAAAAATTGTTAGGATGAGCCTTAGGGTAATTTTTTTCTAGGTTTTGAAGGAAAGGAAAAGGCTGTGGCTCTTTTAGAAACCATAAAGACTATAAATATCTCCTGGCTAAACAGTGCGTTGTAGTTAAGTATGTGCTCATTGGTTAATTGCAAATACGCTTGGGGCTGCATAAAATAAACCAAGTGAGTCTTTCAGCTCAAGTGGCCTTTATTTCCTTGGTTAAGGTCACTTAGTATAAGGGTAACTCCATGTTTGCTTGATCTGTAGGGATAATAAATCTTCCAATCCTACTTATGACAGGCCGCTGACTCCTTCATTTTTCTTAAAAAAAATACATAGCTGGTGTGCAGAAAGCCATCTCCGGTAACGGAAGGCAAGAGCAGGTTCTCTTTATTATATAAAACACCTTCAGATAATGGTGTTGAGTTCTTACACAAGGATGAATTTATTAGTGTGCACTTTTGAATATAGTATTTAAGAGCTGAAATTCTTAACTGCTGCTGCACTGGGTGTTCTTATATGTAACGTACTGGGGTGCATTTTAGAACATATTTAAGCTGTCTGTACAAAAAAAATGCATAGCATTTTGATGCAGCTGTCCTTGAAGGGTTGTAATAATTCAAACTGAGAAGATGTAGAGAACTGTAGGTGTGTTATTGTGGAAGTATGGTCCTAGATTTTCTTTTATTTTTTCTTAGGAAACTGTTTTCGCTGCATTTCTACCACTGGACATGTCTCACCAAAGTTTTATTTTCCTCTCACATAGTCTCTACCTCTAGGGGTTGCAAAGAGATTAACATGATGCAGAGTTATCTTCCTGAGTTTCCAGAAACGCTGAACAAATTGCTTTCTTGCATCTCGGTGAATTTTCCTGAATCCTCATGATGCAAACAGGAGTATCAGTGGACTACTAGACCAGAAACCTGCCGTGCTGTAGCTGTGATACTGCAAAACAGCATCAATAGGCAGCCCATTGCAACCTGAACAATTCCTAGGACATGATAGACTTGGTGCCAGAGCTTTTTCCAGTAGTAAAATGGAGGTGTTTCTTTTCCATCCCATATGAGCTCATTTACTGTAACATAAGAGTTGTGGTGAATGGAGTTAAATCCGGTTGGCAACCGGTCATGAGTGGTGTCCCCCAGGGTGGGGTTTTGGGGCCACTCCTGTTTAACATCTTTATTGATGATCTAGATGAGGGGATCGAGTGCCCCCTCAGTCAGTTTGCAGAGGACACCCAGTTGGGTGGGAGTGTTGATCTGCTTGAGGGTAGGGAGGCTCTGCAGAGAGACCTGGGCAGGCTGGAGCGAGGGGCTGAGCCCAGCTGGGGGAGTTTCAATAAGGAGAAATGAAGCCAGAATTCAACCACTGTCCTTGACACCCAGGTGACTACACTGATGTGGGAGTTTTAGTACTGACAAGCTTTTAAGATTTCATACTGCTCCGTCCCAGTTTTACTTGGTAACGTACTCTCAGAGACTGCAGGGAACTAAGCCACAAGTGTGGATTACAAGTTTAAAAAAACCCAAAAAAAAACAAAAAACCCCCAAACTGTAAAAAGGACACCCCTAAAAATCTGATACTAGAAGCTTAACTCTTTGTTAAGGGTACTGGATCTGATGAGTGATTGTGTTTTACTGGAGTATCAGCCTGCTGGGTTACCATGGGAAATCATCCTGTGGGGAAAGGATGAAGGATTTTATACTAGATAGACAAAACTTTGTGAAAAGGACCTTAGTGATATGACCCAACTCCCTGCTCCTATCTTTTTAACCTTAATCTGTCTAAAGAGTTGAGAAGAGCTTTACTTTCTCCAGAGACTCAGATAAATCTAGTCTGCTATAGCTTAAGGCATGCAGAACACTTACAGCTGTGGCATGGGGCCAGTGAACCATTATCTGCTTTCTGTTCTTCAGCCTTGTATTGAGCTGACTGGAAGGAACTGTAATGTTTCTGATGCTTCCCGAGCATCTGACTGTTTGCTTTATCATGAAACAAAGACATCCCCATGCCAGGTGATGTTAGCAACAGCTCTGCAAGGAGAGTGGTAGAACAATGTGTTTAGATAGCTTGTGTAATTAACATAAGTAGGCTGGATAAAGATTAAATTCAGCTTTTGTTTAATATTTTATTTTTCCTGAAAATGCTTCAGTAAAATCAAAACCATTTGGTTCAGGTTTGCCTTTGTGTATTTTTTTTTTTTTTTTTTTTGCTTTGTGGATTAGGTGGAGGATGTGACTAGAACTTTTCTACTAAATGAGCGAAGCTCTGGTTTGTTGTTAAATCTTAATCCCTTTGCAACCTTTTTTTATTTCCTGTAATATGTGTAAACCATATTAAGGAATCTTAAGTGGATTAATATGTGTGCATTAGTATCTGCGCACTTTGTAGGCTTCGATTGTGATTCCAGGATGAGGCAGAGCATGCATAGTTTGATCTATTTTTATTTTTTATTTTTAATGTTAGTATTTAGAATGGCTCCTATATCTGTATGGTATTTATACAATTAAACATTTTCTTGTGATGAAACAGCAAGAGGAATAGAATAATTTACATTGGTGTCAGTGCTCTAAGATTTAATAAAAAAGAATGACTTGCAGTTTGGCTACATGAACTCTGACTCATAACATGGGATTATGCTTGTATTGAATCAAATCCCCAAACAGAAATCCAACCGTTTTTTGTTCAACTTTAAACTGTTTAATGTAGTTTGAATTGCATCTTCTTAATTCTGTCAGTTTTCAAGATAAGTCTTTTGGAAACTCTTTTCCTCACCCAGCAGCTCAGCACAAGAAAATTGGTAAAGAATAAACCTCATGAATTTAAAAGATTTTCAGTGCTTAGTCCCTTTATGAAGCTGGTAATTTTCTGTGGTTTTGGGTTTTTTCTCTTTCTCCCAAAGACCTGTTAAGTTTGTGGAAGGTGGGCTGGTACCTTTTTAGATATTTTTGCACTGTATTAATAATTGAACCTGTGTAAATATGTATAAAATAATTTTGCATGTATATGTATATATGTAAATATCTAATAAATGGCTTTTTTGTAATGTTTGTCTTCATTTATAGTTTTAAAATAGCCGACTATACTAAAAACAAGGTTTATCAGCCACTTCAGTTTCATATGTATCTTTAGTGTTTTTTGTGGCAGCGTTCAAAATATTTTAAAAATAAGCTCAACTCTTTAACACAGAGCTTCAAAATCAGAGTGATTGCAAATGCTGTCACAGTGCATCCTGGATTGTATGCAGTCTCTTACAGGAAGAAATACCTGTATGAACTCAGCATGGCTTTCTCTGAGATAATGTGCTCTCTGATATCTAATCTACTTGGGTGAACACTGGCACTTTTTGTTCAGGGAGAATTAGGATTTTTATTCAATCATCTATGTGGTAAAAAGTGACTGGATTCATCGGTTGAACTATACAAATGTATTTATAAAGATGGATATAGGAACTTGCTTATCCAAGCAACAGATTGCAGTGTCTGTGATAATCTCTTTGTAGCTTTAAATCTTGCTCTTTACTTTCAGCCACCATGTTATAAAGGTTTTTCCTGCAAAATTTGCATATTGAAATATGTGAAGCAAGATGTAACACAGTCCCATAGGTCCTCTTCCAGTCGCCTGGCAGTGAGTAATGGGGATCCTGCAGATTGCTGTTAGACTTTTAGCTTAGTCTCTTAATGGAACTGTCAGTCCCTACTAAGAGCTTGTGGACTCATTTTGGCCAATTTCAGCCGACTTTGATAAAGGCTCTGAAGGCACTGATTCATCAGGCTTTATTATAGAAATGAATGGCTTGATGTGACACAAATTCAGCTTTATCATCGTCTGAATGTGATGCGTTCAGGGTGTTGGGAAATGTGCTTTGGGAGAGTGATGCTTTCAGTGGCAGGACTCATAGAGGACCCTGCATCATCAGAAACCAAAAATGAGGTAAAAATCAGAAAGCTGGAAGAAATCAGTCTTGTGAAACTGGTTCCATTTTCTCCCTGGTCCTCCACAGGAATGATACCCAGATACTGTAGCAACAGCAAAACATAATGGGTAAATGGCTAGGTTCTTCCACTGGTTTCCAACATGTGACAAGTGAAACTTTTTCTAATCTCTGAGGCTTATTCTTTATCAAGAAGGCAATTGTGGGTAAAGTGAATCTGGGAGGACTGCAAATTCTTCAGCATTATTCTGCTTTAAAGATATATCCCACTTTTTGCCTTGACTTGGCCTTTTAGCTGTGGAGCTTGCTCAGGTGCTGGCTTGTGGCACAGAAATGCCAGCATTATGTTTGGGATGGTTACAGTGCTGCAGCACTCATTGCCGTGTTCAAAAGAGGAGGAGAAGCCTGTGTGCGCCCCTGTAATGAGGAAAGAGGCAGAACAGTAGGTTGTGCAGACAGTAGGTCATAATGAGCAAAAGCTGATGGCGGGGGAGGAAGGAGAGCACTTTATTCTGCTGAACTGCTCTGCCCTTTGAAATCTAGATGTTATTTTTGTTCTGTAAATAAATGATTGCTCAAAACGTGTTGCTTCTCAAGATGCCAACAGAGAACAGCAGCAGCCTTTCCCTTTTTTTCCTAAGGTGAGGGGAGAAAGCAATTATAACTCCCTTTCTCTTTTGAAGATGCTGATAAAAGGAGGTGGGAGGATCAGAGGGTCTCTGTGCCAAAAGAGGAACAGCTCCTAAGGTGATAGAAATACATGTTTTTATTTTAAACAAAGTAACTCAACTTCTGCTGTGTGCTAACTTACAAATGTGACCTAATTGCATATAAAAACTGTTTATGAGAGCGGGAGGGAAGGAAACAATGGCCACAAGAAAAAGAGCATCTCTGACTTCAAATATGTTACCTCCTGGTGATGCTGGCTGGCTCAGCTCTTGTGCCCATGGGTGTGGGGACAACTGAACAGTTTTTAAAAGCAATCAGCCACATGTGTTAACCTCAGTAGTGAGGTGCCTTCAAAGATGAAGGCTGAAGGGATCAGAGGCTTTATTCCGTGCCTGTTGGCTCTTACAGGTACCTCCTGGTTGTCTGCAAATAAATCTCTACTAAAGGTATGCCCTTTTGGAGAACATTCTGGAAAGAAGCAATATCATGCCAGCAGGAACTGAAGGTATGTTTTTTGCTCCCTGCTGCGGGGTGGAAATTTCGCTTCTTCCCCTCAGTTTTTGGGGTTTTTTTTGTTGTTTTTTTTTTTTTTCCAAAAGGCTAAACAAAGTGATATTTTTAAATTTGACCAATTGCTGCATGCTGTTTTCCCTTTAAAGTGTTGTTCTGGCAAAACCAAGGACCTTGAGTGGGAGTGAATAGTATCTGCTACGTTTTCCCATGCTGCAAATGTGTAACATCATGGGACTGTATCCATCAGGCACGTCAGGAAGGGCTGTTCCAGGAGAGAAGCTGTTAACCTTTGCAGGTGGCTGGAGAGATGAAAGGTAATATCCCTTCCTTGGGCTTGTCCCCCACCAGATACTGTAGTAACTCTTTTTTGCCAATTTGGTGAGTAACAGCATGGGCTTGAGCTCAGGCATGCCTTAGATTGTCTTAAGCTGGTTTTTAATCAGGAAGATGC